CGAGAGGATACCAGCCACTTAGTCCATCACTGGAAAACAGAATCTCCTGGCAATTTAATCCTGCCAGTGCAGGCTATTTTTAAATTATTACCTGACCAAAAAAAATGGTGAGCTTTAGAGATTTCTTAAGATAAAGAAATGTTTAAAAGTCAGAAGGAGTCAAATAGGGATTATAAAGTGGATATATAAGGATTTTCCATGGAAACTCCAGCAAAATTGCCCTTTGATGATTTTTGATGAGGGGGATGAGCAGCATGTGGTTGGACGGGGAAGCCCTGTCTGATGAAGCTGTCCTATGCATCTCTCTGTGAAGCGCTTGCTCACTTTATCGAAACACTCTCATAATCAACAGATGCTATCATGCTTCGGCTCTCTAGAAACTCAACAAGAAAAATGCCTTGAGTGCCCACCCCCCAAAAATAAGGGCTGTTAGGACTCTTGCTTTTCACAGGTCCACTTTTGCATTGCCTGGACCACTTCATGGCAGCCATTGTCTGTGTTTTGTTTTCAGGATCAGACTCGTAGACCAAGGTTTATCTCCTATTACAGTTCTTCAAAGAAATGTTTCAGGTTCTTGATGGCACTTGTTGAAAACTCTCCATGCAGAGTGCTGCTTGTGTCTGCAGGTGATCTGGAAGAAGCCGTTTGAAAACTTGCTGGGCTTTAGTTTTTCAGTCAGATTGTGTAAGCTGAATCATTGGAAAAGTCGATAATGCTGGCTATTGCTTCTGCAGTTAATCGTTGGTCCTCTAAAATTATAGCACTGATACATAAGATTGCTTGTTCGAACATCGATGGTCTTCTGCTGCCAGCTTCATCCGAAACATCTTCTCATCCCATCTGAATATGAATTGTCCATTTGTAAACTGCTATTTTCTTTGGAACACAGTCCCTATAATTTTTTAAATACAAAATCAGTGATTTCAGCATTCATTAGCATACGCTTCACCATGACTTGGTTATTTATTTTTGCTTTCAATTTTAGCAAAACTCATGTCGCTCTGATAGAGGCTTCTTTCAAACCAATTTCAAACTAGATCCTGCAAGGAAAAAATTGAGGCCCATCCATAATTTTCCATAATACTGATTTTCCATGAACTTTTTTGAAACTCCTTTGTACATTAAACATGCATTCCCTACTATTGCTAATTATTTAATATGTTCACATTTACAAAAATAGATTTCATGTAAATATTATAGATCATTAATAAACATGAGTTAATGGATAGTTAATGTTTTAAAAAAGAAAAATTGATTATTTGTACTGTCTTTTCTAGGCTAGGTACTGAAGCAAGGGATTGTAATGGTCCCCGAAAACAATACAGAATATGTGAGAATCCACCTTGTCCTGCAGGTTTGCCTGGATTCAGAGACTGGCAATGCCAGGCCTTTAGTGTTAGAACTTCGTACCCAAAGCCTGTACATCAGTGGCAAGCTGTCATGGATGAAGGTATGGCCAATCAGATAACCACCATCTTAATGAAGTAGGCTTGTAGCTTTGCACGGTATGTTATAATAATAATAAATGCTATTTTACTGACTGTCTTCTCATATTTCAAGACTCTCTTTTCCTCCTTTTACTGAAATAACACCCACAAAGACTGACTAAAAGTATGTTTTACCAATTATAATTAGATATTGGCACACACCCATCAGAGCAGCTAAAATTTAAAAAAAGATGTTACCAAATAGTGGGAAGTATGAGAGAAAATAAAACTGGATCTCTGAGACATGCCTGCTGTAAATGTAAAATTATAGAGCCACTTTAAAAAATAGTTTGGAATTTCTTAGACAGCTAATACATACTTATCACAAACTGATAACATTGCATTCCTTACTACTTACCCTACATAAATGAAATTCTATATCCCCATAAATACAAACACATGAATGTTTGTAGTACTTTAATTAGCACAAACACTGAGAACAACCAAAATATTTCTCAGTATTAGTCAACACTACTAAAGTGCTAACTGAATGCCGGCAGCAAGTTGATGAATCTTCTTTAAGCCCTAATTTGGACGGCGTTTCCCTTTTCTTTCTCTTCTCCTTCTGCCATCTGCTTCTGTTATCATGCTCTTTCGCCACATC